GAGAGAGGGAGAGAGAGAGAGAGAGAGAGAGAGAGAGAGAGAGAGAGAGAGAGAGAGAGACGAAGCTAGGCACTACCGTCGTCGGCGAGAGCACCCCTTTGCAACGGGGGAGGCAAAGGGAGAATGGTTGGAAGGGTAGGTACCACACAGGTGGAGGACGCAGGGGGAGTAGTCAAGGCAGCACAGAGAGGGGTAGGCGATGGGGGTTGGTGGCGCGGGCGAGAGGGGTTGGCGCGAGTTCGGTGAGCCCGCGGTTCTCAGGGTGGCTCGTCAGTTCGGCGGACGACCGTGCGAGAGCGCCGTCGCGTGGCATGATCGATCCCTATCGCTCCTCTCCGCGGCACTCGCGCTGCACCCGATGGGCGGAACGTGCCACGGCGGCCCGCGGAAACTCGAGTGCCCCGTGCGCGCAAAGGGCGTCACAAATGGCTGTCGTCGTGGCGATGACGTCGTGCCGGCTGCTTGTTGCGACGACATTGTCCATAGAATAGTAGGCTGCAGCACCCCAGGTGCGGCGACGCCAGTAGCTTGATCGGCCTCTTGACGGCGCGTGGAAACAGCGGCGGCAGCGGTGGTGGTAGTGGCGGCGGCGGCGGCGGCGGCGGCGACGGCGGCGGCGGCGGGGGTGAACGGCGACAACGACGACGGGGAAATCCCTATCGACCCTATCCGCGGCGGCTGGCTAACCTTGCGGCTCGTCTCTAGACGTTTCTACCTGAGGCTACGGTGTGCTTCGCGCTCGCCGCCTTCTTCACCCGGGCTCTCCACTGTTTCGTGCGGCCGAACCGCCCCACTCGCTTCGCTTCGCCCGCCCGCGGACCTTGATCTACGTTGACGCGTGTAACCCGGTCAACCACCCGCTTTGGCACGCGCGACCCGTCGGGCTCGCTTGTCAGCCAGCCAGCATCCAGCGGTCGGTGACGGCGGTCGGTGTCGCGGTCGGAGCCGCGTGCGTCAAGTGCCGGTCGAGCCTGATCAAGCCTCAGCCGCGTAACCGCTCACCGGAGAAACGAAAGGTATCGGAAGCCGCGACTGGTCAGCCCTTGGCTCGCTCCAAGGTGTGCGTCGTGCTTGCGTGCCTGCGTGCGTGCCTGCCTGCCTGCCTGCCTGCTTGCGTGCGTGCGTGCGTGCATGCGTGAGAGAACTCGCCTGCGTGTCTGTGCACGATTGACGCGGCAAATCAATCACATTGTCGACTACCGTATCGCTGGACACATCCTCGGTGGCGGCACCGCGACGCGAGGGGGTCGCACGCCGCGCGCGCGGAGTCCCGCGAGGCTCTCTCTCCAGGAGCCGCGCGCGATTGGTCAGTGCGCGACCGGCGCGGGCCGTAATTAATTTCTCCTCCGCTCTCGGGAATTACGTCGCCCGGTCGCGCACGATATTAGGCGCTCCGAAGGTCGACACGAGAGAAAGAGAGAGAGAGAGAGAGAGAGAGAGAGTGTGTCGGCCAAAGGGAATGGGATTACACGGCGGGAGAAGTAGCCGATGAATGTGTGTGTGTGTGTGTGTGTGTGTGTGTGTGTGTGTGTGTGTGTGCGTGCGTGCGTGCGAGTGTGTTGTGTGTGTAGCGTGCGGCGATCTTCTTCCCGGTGCCGCGCGCGCTCACGTTCGGCGACGCTATCGTAATCAGTTAATTTCCGGGCGTTAAGCGGTTTCGTCGGCCGCGATATTCGGGACAGCGCACGGCAGATACGTGGTGTATGACAATTCGGCAGCAGGTGCGCGGGATTATCGCCGGCGGTGCTATCCGCGATCAATCCTTTCCCGGGCACCGTGAGCTCTTCGCGCCTCTTGGCTGTTACAGCAATTACGGGACCGACGAGACGGGACACGCGAGAGACAAACGGCGAGAACCACAGGAAGAGGAATCGCAAGAGAGAGAGAGAGAGAGAGAGAGAGAGAGAGAGAGAGAGAGAGAGAGAGAGAGAGAGAGAGAGAGAGAG